CTACATTCAGATTTGATGGAATATACTTAGTTTCTGCATGTCAGTTATTTGTCCATTTATGATCCTGAAGGATTTAATCTGACCTCCCAAAATAACAGTTGTGGTTTTGTCATGATGTTTTAAAATATCCATAGCCCTGATGATCAGAGTAAAAGCAGTTTTTTCTTACAGTCTGTACCTATTTTAGTTACATTCTCTGTTCTTCCAGTATAAATGGAACTTGCTCCAGCCAACTGTTGAAATTGCAGTAAAGAAAATACAGCTAGTTTTTTCTGCCTCTAAAAAGAGAGAAAAAAGTTTTGTTAGTCTCTCTCCTTAGCATAATGTATTTCAGGCACTTTAAAGTATTTATTTAGCTAGTTGCACAGTCTTTCATAGACTAATCTTGTCCCTATACCTAATGCTATTTATCTGTACTCACTTTTAGTATATTGACTTCATTTCTCTTTTTTTTCGCCTGGCTTTCTCATTTATTTTTCATATCCGTAGCTTTTGGCATTTTTCTTGCTGTCTTATATTACAGGCAGAGTCTTAAGCATGTAGGGCTAATTTCTTGACCACCAGTAGCACTCCTTTTTTCAGCTGGAGTTTTTGTCATTTAACACTTTATTAATAAATTTGATGTATTGCTCCATAATTGTTTCTTGTAGATAAGTCTCTACTCCCTGTTGTGATTTTAATTAGTAGTCCTGGATCACAGGGATTATGCCTAACATAACTTTGGAAAGATCCCTCCTAGAAGATAGCAGAGAAAGAATACACAGAGTATGTCTTAGAGTGCATGCAAATACTCAGCATTTCAGTCAGTATTTATTCGACTGCTTACCATTTTACCACCCGTTCTGCTAGTGAAGCAGTCAAGCAGTAGATCACCTGGGTTTACACAGTAGTAGGAGGTTCAACCAAAATAATCAGTTAATCCAAGTCAGTGTGATGGGACTTGAGAGAATAAGTTGAATTGTTATGTATATATGTGATATATGTTTATCAGGAAAGCTCTTCAGCAACTTCAAGGTGTCTAGGAAGGTCACCTTTGAGATCATCTGATACCTAAAGGATAAACAAGGTTTGACCAAATTTAGCAAAGGTGGGGAAGGGTGAAGGAATTGGGACGGGATGCTCATTTGAAAGGAAGAAGATCCATCTCTCTAGCTAGAGGGCAAAAATGTTTTTTAGGGCTGCAGTATAGAGTTCAAGGGAGAGGTTGTAGAAGTGATCTGGATCTGGGATGGGCTTCTTAGGTGTTTGGGCTTTAGCCTAAGAACAGGAGTTTTTTTGTTTTTGTTTTGTTTTTTGGGGTTTTTAAAAAAGATTTTATTTTTTTTAATTTTTTTAAAAAAAAGATTTTATTTATTCATGAGAAATACACAGAAAGAGAGGAGGCAGAGACACAGGCAGAGGGAGAAATCAGGCTCCTCGCAGGGAGCCCAATGTGGAACTCAGTCCCAGGACTCTGGGATCATGCCCTGAGCCAAAGGCAGACATTCACCCAGGCGTCCCAGAACAGGAGTTTTTTAAGGTGGGAAGCAACCTGATTCAGTTTGTAGTTAAGAGACTCCTCTGGCTATGCTGTGGGGAATGGTTTGACAGACGGGAGCTGTATCTAAGAGTTCACTGAAGTAATGGAGGGTAGAGATGATAGTAATCTCAACCAGGGTGGGTTAAGTGGAAGGATTCAAGAGACATTTAGTAGAGAGAGTCCTTGAGAATCATTGATTGCAGGGGAGGGGTGCATTAAGAGAAAAAGAGACATGGCTGAGGGTGATTGGAACTCCTTCAGTTCTGTTCTCACTCCTCCATCACTGATTTCAGGTAGTCATACATTTTGATCTGTGATATCCATGGCTATAAAAATAAATACATTTGGGCCCAGGGGGACTTTAGATTTTAATATTTTCTAACATCTCTGTAGGAAGACTTTTAGATTACAGAGGGTAGTTTTATGTTACAAATATTCTATATAAAAAGATTAAATAGCATACTTAGGTATATAAAATAATTTACAGTAATGAAAAAGCCATCTTACTTAATATCCCAGGGGAAATACAAAGTTCTAACCCTATTTTTAAACATTATGCTATTAAACATCAGTTCATTGATAGTATATTTATTAGCCAAGGACAGAATGTGAACTTTTCAGTACAGAATTACCTACCTATCCATTACCCGGCCTTAACTGAAATAAAAATCTAGACATAAAATATAAAGTAATGAAAATGTTTGTTAGGTATACAGATAGCTCCAAGTAGTTGCAAGGGTTATCAAGAGCCATTTGTAGTTCCCTGGAAGTCTGGATCAATGATCAAATGAAACAAGGTACTGCTTTGGGATTATGTACTTTGATAGGAATTTACCAGTTGCAGTTCCCTCCTAAATACCACATAGGCAAGTATTTCCCTCTCTCCCTCCATCCATTGTAGTCTCCCTTTGTTCCTTGTTTCTTTTAAGTTAGTTTCTTACCAAAACTCCTTTAAAATCTTGGACTTATGAAGTTTCCTTGAGAAGTATTCATGATATGGAACTGGTACCTTTGTTTTGGTCTTGGCTTTATCAAAAGTAGATCTGTGATTATGAACTTGTCACTTCTCAGGATCTTGGTTTCTACATTTGTAAAATGAGAAGGCTGAAGTAGATTTGTGATTAAGGGGAATCCGAGCGGTGATTCTTTATCTGCCTTTCCCCCCCCTAGACTTGTGTATCCAGTTGCTTCCAGGCCTTTGTTTATTTGAGGGTCCCACTGGTACTTAAGATTTGTTATCAGAGCCACCCCTCTCATATGGAGGCCTCTATGGTTTGTTCCAGCCCCACTATCAGAACCAAAGGACTTAAGAGGTAGGTTACTGGAAAGCATTCCCATGGGAAAAAGGGCAGCACAGCCCTTGAAAGTCGTATGCTTAGATGCTCGGTACCTATACATGTCAGGAAACTTGCCCCTTTATAGCATTCCCTTGTGCCATTTCTTTTGTTATTTTTTTGAACCAGACAAATGTTTGAGTTTTATTTATTTATTTTTTTTGTATGTGCTTCTTTTTCTTGGAATGGAAAAGGTAGGGTGGTTGCTGAAGAAGGAAAATGAGAAACTACTGAACGTTTTACTACAAAATATGCTACCTCCAGGGACACAAGGCAAAGATTTCCTTACAAAGGTTGTAATTCTCTCTCCCACTCTCAAGTCCACCATTTGCAGTTTTGGTTATAGCAGTGCCACCTCTATACCTATCTTCAGGCACTGCTCTAGCATATTCATCACCCCTCCTTCCATTGTTAACATATAAGCCTTCCCAATATCCATCCTCAAGCGCATTTCCTCAGGGAATGCTGATTAACCCCACTTAGCATTAATCACCACTCACATGTAAGCTCTCCCAGACCTTTGTTAAGTGTTATTCTTTAAAAATATATTTAAAGTAGATTCAGATAAAGTGGGAAAATACCAATATATAAAAGTATATACAGTAGAATCTTCCATTACATGTCACACATACACCTGAACCAGGGTGACTTTTCTCATATTGATCTGTTTTGTCTCCAAGATAAAAGATCTGAATGTATCCTTCCATCTGTGAAGTCATTTAACCAAACTTGTTTTCTGTGCTCATTTTTGATTGCTTGATTTATTGAAGTTGATCCTGGCTTAGAAATTGGCATGTGTGCTTTTGCAAAATGATTCTTATAAGGACTATAAAAATGTGGTCATTGAAAGCTGTTTGAGAAAATGTATTGCTCTTGCTGTGATATAAACAATGGTATTTTTAAAATGTTATGTCCAGTCTACATAAGTTTAATTATAAATTGGATATTTTTTGAAAGCTGTCTTCCTCTACTTCTTTGATGTATTCAAATTTGTAATAGATCTTTGAACACCAGTTGGTGTGGGGTTGTTGGTTTGCCACTAGAACCATCTCTACAATCTACCCTCTGATAATGACAGTGACTCCTATGAATAGGAAATAAAAGAAATACTTTGCATTAATCCCCCACCGCACCCTCAGTACCGTCAATTCCCTAGCCCCCACTGCTCTCACTTCGACAGAAGCAAAGACAATGTAATTACAACACTTTTTCCTCTAATACATAAATTGAAACCATCCTTTACTGATTCCCGTTGGGATGTTTGTTTTAACTTTTGTTTTACTGGTGGAGACCACACTGATTTTGATTTGCCTGCCACCCTAGGATTACTTGATTGCAGTCTTCTAAGAAGCAAAGAACCAGGTCTAATTTAATGTTTAGCAAAATAGTGGTTGTAGTAGAAATTTGTAAGTTTTTGGAATGCAGGAGAATAGGATTGAATGAGGTTAAGGAATCTTTAATGCTTGCTTTTGGATAAATCTTTTCAGTGAATGGTCTCTTGTGGATCTCAAAGCCACTAGGAAGAGAACTGGGGTATTTGTTTTGAACCTTGCAAATAGTAGTAACTCTTTACCTTTCTACTAATACCCCCACCCCCAGCACGCTCCAGCTTGCTCACGTTTGTCAGCGATCCCCACCCCACAGTAGCAAGTCCATTAGTGACTTTTACATAAGATGCAAATCAAGAAATGTCTCGGTCCTCGCTGCGGCGCAGGTGGGACTGGCTTGAGGAAGACGCAGCCTAGTAGACCGTTTCGCAGGGTGACTCATTATCAGCGCTGACCGTTGCTTTTAAACACACCAGGGAAAATGTACCAGGCGCTGTTACGATGCAGACAACCGGGAGGGGTGGTGGTGAGGACAAGAACCGAGATAAAATTTGGCCAAGGCTACGTGTCGCACCGAAGCCACAACGGCAGGGCGGGCGGGGAGGCCGGGCACCTGCGAGGAGCGCGGGCAGGCGGGCGTGGCGGGGGCGTGGCCTGCGGGCGGGGCGGGGCCCGCGGGAGGGGCGGGGCCTGTGGGCGGGGCGGGGCCGGGGCCGGGGCGGGGGCGCCGGCGGTTGGAAGGGGGTGGAGTTGCCCTTGGAGGCGGCACCGGCCCTGGGCCCCGAGGCCCGCCGCGCCCTATCGGGCCCGAGCCGAGTGGCTGGCCCAGCGGAGCCGGCGCGCTCCCGCCTGCAGGGGGAGGGCGGACGGGGCGCGGGGACCGGCCAGGCCGCGGCGGGCGCTGTTTCTCTTTCACTTTCCTTCCCTCCGAGGCCGGCGCGCTGGCGGGCGAGGAGCGGCGGCGGCGGCGGCCGCGGGGTAGGTACCGGGCGGGCTTGAGAGGCGGCGGAGGAGCCCCGGCCGCCCCCGCGCCCCCCGCGCCCCCCGCGCCCAGGCTGCGCCCGCGGCGGGAGCGGCACCTCCAGGCACCTGCCGCGGCCGGCCTCGCCTGGAGCGCGGAGAGCCCCTCGGGCCGGGCCGGGCAGGGCCGGGGCGGGGCCGGGGGCGGCTGGGGGTCGGGAGGGTGTCTGGGGGCTTGGGAGCCGCGTCCCGCCCTGGGGCGCGGGGAGGGCGGCGGGCTGCCGGGCTCGGCCCCGGGAGAGGCGGCGCGTCTGCCCCGGCGCAGCCCCGGCCTGGCCCTGCCCGAGCGGCGCGTCCTCCCGGCCCGGGCCCGCGCACCTGCCGGAGCGGCGGGGGGACTCGTGCCTGGACCCACCGGAGGACGCGGGAAAGTTCCGTGCCGCCCCGTCCCTGCCGCCGCTTGCTTCCTTCCTTCCTTCCTTCCTTCCTTCCTTCCTTCCTTCCTTCCTTCCTTCCTTCCTTCCACTGTCGTGACGGGACTCGGGGGCTCACGCTCTCCGCACCGCCCGAGGCCGGGAGCCTGCATTTCCTCTCTCAGAGGACTTTCTCCGAACTCTGGAGCTTCGTGGCAAACCTGTGGAGAAGGCAGGGCCGCTAGTCCCGAGGTAGAGGAGAAGCCTAGACCCAGGCACGGATGCCGCACTCAAGGTCCTACCGGCGAAGGACCGAAGCCCGGACCCCCGGCTCTTACTCATGCTCCCTTTGTGCCCCCCTCGTACCACGCAAAACCTGTTCCGTGCACATTCTTTAGGGCGATGTGTCTGTCCATGGAAGGTTGGCTTTTGCCTCTCCGGTCGCTTTATACCTGTGAGCTAACAGCTAAGATAGGAGAAAAGTTGCTGTTTTTAGGGTTAACTTAGGAAGTCAGTGCCCTCTTTCATGCTGTATTTTCTCAGAACACATTTGTTTGTAAGAGACCTTTTTAGACTTTTTTTTTCTTTAGCGACCCCATGTACCAGCCAACAATGGTAAACATTTCTGGAAATAAGTTAATGACATTTAGCTTTTACCGTGTGCTAGCTTTATGTGTATGGTCTCATTTAATTAATCCTTGTCACTCTAGGGAGCTGGCACCCTTATTTTTATTTTATAGTTTAAAAAAAAACAGATTGAGAGGTGATAAGTAACATTGCCCAGGTTACACACTTACTAAATGTGATCGGTTTCTTTTTTTAAAAATTTTTTTATTATTATTTATTTATGATAGTCACAGAGAGAGCGAGAGGCAGAGACACAGGCAGAGGGGGGAGAAGCAGGCTCCATGCACCAGGAGTCTGATGTGGGATTCGATCCCGGGTCTCCAGGATCACGCCCTGGGCCAAAGGCAGGCGCCAAACCGCTGTGCCACCCAGGGATCCCTGTGATCGGTTTCTATCAAAGACTGTCTAATAGAGGACATGAAGAATGAATGTATCTATAAATCAAAGGAAAACGTAACAGAAGAGAGGGTACCCTGAGGATAACTTTGGAGAAGGGTTTCCAAGGATATAGGTAGGATTTAGAAAAGAGGAAGGGTTTGTTTGGACAGCCGGTATACAGAGGCTGCAGAATGGACTGTGAAAGAGTGATCCTTTAAGTTTGCCTAAAGAAAAGTGTTGGAAAAGTATGCTAAGGTCAGCCTGTGGAAGGTCTTATATGGAAAGCTAAGGAGTTTAAATGTCTGTTTATAAAGAGGAGACACTGTCAGTCTTTGAGAAGAAGACCCAAATGTGATAGAATAAAATAACGCTGGTAGAATGTAAGATGGAGTGCAGGTGGAGAAGATAGTAGTCAAGTAGGATCGCTATGGATGCAATGGGAAAGGACGTCAACTTGATTTCATTGACTGGATAAGGGACACAAAATGGAAATAGGAAGTAAGTATATTGGTAGAGAGGATAGTGACTTCAACGTTCAATCTTTTAACTTGTATTGGCAAGAACTCCTAATAGAGCAGGCGAGCAGATAGCTAAGATGCATTACTGAAGAGGTAAAGATACCAAAACTAGAGTTTGTCACTTTAGGTCTCATTTGTATGGAGTTGATAGTTAAGACTCCAGGATTGGATGAATTTGTCATTATCCTGAGTTAAATCAAAGCAGGTTTACAAATTAATTTGACAGTGAGAGACATGTTCTATGTACCCATCCACCCAATTTGGAGTAACACTTGCTGTTATTAATACCGTATTAGGAATTTGACACTTTTTTTTCCCCTCTCATCTTTTTAAAACTATTGTGGAAACAGACATGGGAAAGCAGAACCACCGAAAGTAGTGATGACCAGCGATCTCATGATAAATCTGGATGTTAGTTCTCATGCCTCAGGACATCCAGTTGGGAACTCCACACCAGCTCCTGGGCTCAGACTTCATCCACTTACTACCCCTCTTTGCCTGAACTACTAAAGCCAGTCCTAGCTAACCACGAATGGCTACCCAAAGGAAACACTTGGTGAAAGATTTCAATCCTCACATCACCTGCTACATCTGTAAAGGGTACCTGATCAAGCCAACCACAGTGACGGAATGTCTCCATACCTGTAAGTATTCTTTTAAAACTACTGCATTTGGGCTTTATATCTAGATTTTAGCTTTCAAAATGGTAAGTAACTCCAAGAATCATCCTAACTTTGAATTTATTTTCAGGATTGAATTTGTCATTGGGATACCAGTGGCATGAAATTTTTCCTCTGTTATTATGTAATAGTTGACTTTTATCTAATTTTAATGTTTTAAAACATATTATTGATTATAGTTTTTTTAAATGAACTATTTTAGGTTTTTTATTTTAAAAAGTTATATTGAAGGAATTAATCTGCTCACAGGTTTTGTTGGAGTATACATTCTTTCATTCATTGGCTTTTTTAGACCACTTTATTGAGGTATGGTTGACATACATAGATATTCAAAGTATACAACTTGATGAGTTTAGAAATAAGTATAGACCCATGAAACCACCATCACGTCTATGCCATAAACCTATTACCTCCAGAAGTCTTCTTGACTATTATTAATAGTATTATTGTGATATGAACACTTAACATAAAATCTACTCTCTTAGGAAATTTTAAGCATGCAACACTGTAATAGTAACTATAGGCACTATGCTGTGCAGTAGATCTCTAGGACTTACTTACCTGTTTAACTGAAATTTTGTATCCTTTGGCCAAAAAGCCCACAGTTTGTGCATCACCTAGGAACTTTTGTTAGGTGTACATTATCAGGCCTCCACTCCAGAAGTCCTGAATCAGAAACTCTGGGAGTGCCCAACAATCCATGGTTGTCAGCAAGCCTTCTAGGTGATTCTGAAGCATGATTGAGTTTGAAAATCTCTGTTCTAATATGATCATATCTGTGGAACTCCTATCAAGTTTCTTTCTCACCTTGCCTATCAGTAGAAGGTTCATTTTTATAGTCACTTATGCCAGAGTTCCACATACTTTTTGTGTTTCTGCCTGTATGAAATTATTTGCCTATTTCGATGAAAGTAATTCCAGTAAGTTCTAGATTAATGCCTATTATGTGCACTAAATAGATATTTTATATACTTGATTACAATTAGCTTTACTATAACCGTGAAATAGTTTGGAGTAGTTATTGGGAGAGAGAGAGAGTATAGAGATTATCTTCATTTTGTGGGTGTGGAAACCATGAGTTAAGAAACTTGCCCAGTAGTGGTGAACCTATATTCCAACTCCAAAGCTCATGCTCTTTTTAAGATAACATGGTGCTTTTTTTTTTTTTAATCCTCCCCTTTCTCTGTTCTCCTGCTACTGAACTGACATAATATTATATCAGGAGTCTTAAAGAGGGGTGCAGAATAGAGAATTACCTGGAAATGGCTAAAATGGCAAATTGTATGGTATATATTATACCCAATAAGAAAATAGAATCACCTAGAAAACTGTTTAAACATACATATGCTCAGAATTCCACTTAGACAGATTTGGTAGATCATTTGTGGTGAGGTCCATGCATGTGTGTTTTGGAAAACCTTTCCAAAGTGATGATATATATTACCTTTGGATGGCCTCTGCTATCCAATTAGCAATTTGCTATGAACTATCTTGAAATACTAATTTACTGCTGCCCTGTATCATTGCTTAACTTGAACAATTACCAGTTAAAAATCATTGAACAAATATTTATTGAATACCTACCGTGTGCCAGGTACCATCTATTCCAGACAGAACAGATACAATAATGAACAAGATAGTAAAAAAAAAAAAAAAAAAAAAAAAATCTGTGCTCTTGATAAGTTGAACATTCTAGTGGGTGAAACTAATAAACGTGTGCCATGTTAAGTAGTGATCAGTGATATGAAGCGAACCAAAGAAGGGTTGTAGATGGGAGAGATGGGGTTATTTTACATAGAATGTCAGGGTGTTAAACTCTTTGATATTATTACATTTGAACACAAACTGAAGGAACTGAGCTCTGGATATATGGGAAGAGCATTCTAGGGAAAAGAAAGTATTACGCCTTAAGGCAGAATGCGCTTAGAAAGTTTATGGAACAGCAGTCACTGCAGGTCAGCTGAAAAATTATAGAGTCTTCAACCAGAGTAATTAGGTGTGAAATGGAGATGGGGAAGAGTGATTGGATTATGGATGTATTTTGGAAAAAGGGCCAATGGATGTGGCTACTCTAGGGCAAGGACTTTGTCTTATACTTCCATGTTTCCTGCTACAACAAAGATGATACCTGGACATGGTCCACAGTCTGTTTTATTTTGCTTCTTGAAACATTTGTATACTATTTTTTTCCCTTTTTTAAAAAAAAAAAAAGTTTTTTTTTTTTTTTTTTTTTTTGAGAGAAAAAGAGAGCACAAGCGAGCAGAGGGAGAGAGAGAAATAGACTCGCTACTGAGCATAGAGCTTAATGCAGGGCTCAATCCCAGGACCCCAGGATCATGACCTGAGCCAAAGGCAGATGCTTAACCTACTAAACCACCAGGCACCTCTGTGCATTATTTTCATATTTGGATTTCTCCAGCAAAAACTGCCAACTCTGGAAGATAAGAAGAAAGCCCAAATTCTCCAATATCTGCCTTTCTAACATATTTTATGTTTTTCTGAAAGAAAATTTTCTCTGGGACATAATGAAATCTCAATTTGTATGCCACTGTTTTGGAAGAAAAACAAAGGATTCCAGAAGTATAAATTGTGTCAGGATATAAGCAAGGGCTGTGTTTATGTTTGCAACAGCAGTTTAAAGTCTAAAAGGGTAAGTGACAGTTTAACTGTACAAGTCATTCTAGCCTGAAAAACTGCTTCGCTGTATCAAGCCCTTTACTAAGAGAGAATGAATGTACATGGCAGAAGTGGAATTAAAAGGCAGTGATAAACCATAAATGTGACTTTTATCATCAGCAGGAAACAGAATAGTGGAGTAAATGATGAAGGAGTCAGGTACTCAACCTGGTGTCTCTGGAGATCCAAGGATCCTGTAGTACTCACCTTCTACTTCCTGGTCCTTGGATTTCTGAGTATTGTTTTGTTTGTGTTTATATTGGGGCTTGTAGCCAAAAACTACCCCATTTGCAAAGTATCCTATTATTTGTAATGATAAAATTAACAGTACTGCAAAGCAGTGTTCCTCAATCATTGTTTGGGTCTTCGATCTTACACAGTTTTCTTATTATAATGTGGGTCAGATATAGTGATACCATGATTTGAGATAGTATGAAATAAAAAAGTCAGCCAAATGGGATAGGAGGAAAGTGAGAAATGCTAAGTGACATTGTAGTATATATACCATAGTATTTTTATCTTGATTTAGGCAAATAAAAAGAATATCTTACTAAAATAACTTTGTACAAAGACTGTGATTTTGTGAGTCTTTATTGTAAGTAAAGAATAGGTGAAACATAGTTCTTGTTACAAAAATTTATAATAAAATATAAAGGTTTTAGTGTCTCTGTTCAAATTTGAAATATATAAATGAATATATAAATGGAACATTATTACTGTTGAGCAAAACCGGACATGGAATCCACACTTCTGGACTTTCTGGTCAAATGAAGAAAGAGTAATCAAGTTAAGAAATATATGAAATAAATGTGGATGTCAATAAGTACCATGAAACTAATGAACAGAATGATAAAATAGCAGGTATGGGTCAGGATATTGCAGCAGAATGCCATGCAAGAGAAGAAACTGGAGGTTTTCTTTTTTTTTTTTTTTTTAATTCCTAAGCCATAGGCCTTGGCCTTCTCACACAAGGATATGAGTGTGCTTGGGCCTGGCTATGGTAGAGTTGCGGAGGGTGGGAAGGAGGGATCATGAGTGGTTCTCCCTGCTTTGTAGGGATAAATGAAGTTAGTTTATTCTTCTTTCAAAATACTCTGCAAATGCATTTCACCTTTCTTTCTCCTCATATCAGATAGGTTGATCCTCTCTCATTCTTCAGTTGAAAAATTCTAGAGCTAACACTGCCTGGCTTCCCTATCAATGTAGAGAGAAGGGCCAACAGGACCAGCAGGATGACTGATTACAGTAGCCCTTGATGTCGCTAGTACTACAGCTGTGTGGAAGAAAGAGAAAGGGGCAAGCTGGCAGAAGGATAGGAGAGGCAGGGATGGCAGGGCAGGCTGAGTCCCAGGCTCCTGGGAAGGAGTTGCAAAAAAAATTAAAAAAGCTTATAAAAGCCCCATCTTTAGGTGGGCTCATAACTCACCTAATGACACCACTTATCTTCAGCAGGCCAAGGACACTTGATAAAAATAAAATATTAAAATGAAGTAGAAAAGTAAAACAAATGAATTTGAGCTTTACATGGTCACTTCGTGATAGATGAATCAAATCCACATTAACCATTGTTAAAGGTCTGAGATTATTTTTTTCTTTTTTTTAATAATAAATTTATTTATTTATTTATTTATTTATTTATTTATTTATTTATTTATTTATTTATTTATTTTTGGTGTTCAATTTGCCAACATACAGAATAACACCAAGTGCTCATCCCGTCAAGTGCCCCCCTTGGTCTGAGATTATTTTAACTCAAACCAAAAACCTAAGGAAATAAACATGTCCACCCAAATAATTACTGAATTACTTAGGATAATTAGTTGTCAGGTATTTTGTTAGCCACCAGGGTAGAGTGGTAAAAAAGATAAATTTGGAACTTTAACTCGATCAAGCAAAACTTTTCATAAGCTAAGAAGAAATTTCTGCATGTGTATTTGGGCCTTTTTCTTTTCTGTGTGAAGTCATCTACTCTGGGACTTCAACTGCATGTGCTGGTGTCTCCCAAATCTTTATTTCTGGCATAGACCTTTTTTCTCAGTTTCAGAATCCTACTGGATGTGCACTTGAATGTCCTAAAGCCACCTGGGGCTCAGCGTGTCTAAAAATGAATGAATGGGATGCCATCACTCAGTTATCCCAGAAGGAAATAAGCTCCACACTTGACTTTGTTTATCTTCCCTAACACAAAATAGGGACCAAGTCCTGTCTGGTGTGTCTTTAATATCTCTTAAATCTTTGCCTTAACTTCTGCCCCGCTGTGACTGTTCTGTTCAGGCTGTCATTACTTC